TCGTTATTTTAGGGCTTAAGAGGACGTCATCAACAAGTCTCTTATGTACCACGGTCTCTACCGACGAGGAGGAATCTCTTTACTGACAAGCAGGTTTCGATGTAAAGTTGGATCTAGATAAATCTCTTTGAAATCATCTTGAAATGTTTTTTTTATCATAGTAAATGACAGACCTCTATGGAGATAGGGATTAGTAATGTATGGGTGTGAAAGACGAGTATGTGTAAAGCACACGTTTGCATAAGCTAGAATATGACATAAAATAAAAGTCATCATATATTCATCACGTAGCATTTAATCAAGTAACTTTAGTACAATATACTTCTTAAGTGTAATCCTACGACTTGAACATCCGTCCACTCTTGCTTTCCGATTTCAACTGACCTGCTTCGGTAAATCTTTTATAGGTCTTACCCACACCGCTCATGTATTCAGTATCCAAAGATGTTTACTTTTAATTAAAAAAAAGTGTATACTAGAAACAATATATATTTTTTTTAAACAAACAGAAATTATTTTGTATTTAAAAGCAGATTTTAATATAACTGCTTTTGTAAGATTAATCCCGCGAATCGATAATAAATCTTTTAATTTAAAAATCATAATACAAATACATACTTTAAAACAAAAAGTATATTTCACAAATATTCTATAAACAGTTTTCTTACACGTGCTACATGAAATGAAGATGACAGATCTTGTAAAGTGTGGCTATATTTCTAAGTGACATCATACTTTTAGTAAGACTAAGATTAAGGCGTGGTGCTCTTTTTTCATTCACTCCAGATTCTATGTTATTAGAGATTTGGTATAGGTAGAAGTTGTTGTTTGGACAAATTCAGGATCATGGCATAGAAGTTGTATTTGGTATGAAGTCACCAACTTCAATTGATAAAGATAGAGCTAGCATTTGCTTAGCACTGTTACAAAGAACGTAGCTAAATGAATAAAAATGCACGTTACTTATTAATTTCATTCATAAAGTTACCTGCCAATAGTTAAATAAAGTGTACATTGTTTTTTTGCATTTTTCACATATTCTAAAGTTTTTTCTAATTTATAATATTTCATAGTCTGTTGTTTTTGAATATTTTAAAAGTATCTTTTTTCATATTGGGCAGCTCTATAAACAATCAAACTGTACTATTTTAATATTATCTGTGCTTATGTAGTGACGAATAAGAGCTAATTACTAGTAGTATATTACCATAATTTGTTAGTTGCATTTCTACAGAATAAACTTTGTTGGCACTTGACCTTACATCATTGATTACTTACTTCTGTAATTATATTAAAAATTAGATCTATTCAACAAAGATTGAGACTTTGGATAGGTAGATGTTATGATAAATAAAAAAAATGCTTTAAACAGTTAGGAAAAATAAAATATAACTGAACTGTAATGTTTAGTTGCTCTCGATAGCAAAAAATATGCTTATTTTAAATTCGTCTATTATTTAAAGATGCTTTTCAAAATCAAAAATAAAAATAAAAATTGCTATATATGTATTTGAGATGTAGAAAAATAGCAATAAATAATAAATACTACATTATTATAAGTGATATAATAATGACTGCAGATTAACTATAAAGCAAACAATATTGCTTTTTAGTTGTGAGTAAAACTTTTATGTGTAAGAGTACTCTTGAGCGGGTGTCAGCGCGAGATTCGTTATTGTGTGAAAAACTTTGTTTAGATTTATAATTACTATTCTTGTCGCAGGTAAATATTCCGATAAATACCAAGATATTTAAATTCCTTTGTCATTAATGTAATATTAAGTTTGTTTTAATGTTTTAATGTTTGTTTTAAACATGTTAATGTTTAAATTTTGCCTTATAATTATAATATGGTTCCTCTTGTATTGTGGTATGGTGTTTCAATTTACACATAATATTTGGGTAGCAAATATTTTTTTGCTATTTCAGAAAAACTGATTGCTTAACCTTAAATTTTTATATATATCGGATTTATTACAAATTCGTTGTTTTAAAAGAGAGGGACGCCAGCCTCACTGACGTCTCTAATGTCACTTCTTCTAGAATGGTCCATGATATTTTAAAATGAAACTGCAATTGTTCTTAATGCTCCTGTATTTCTAGAAGTTTCTTCACAATCACATACTTCAATGATACGAACTCACTGAACTCTGAATTCTGAATTCTGGAGTCAATTCTGGAGTCCCAAGTCTGCCGTCGTGCATCCAGACGTCATATTTATAACAAGATTCAAATATAGTTCTATTCTCCTTTGATTTCATTTTACTTTTAACAATAATCATAAATACTAATGAGGTTTAATAAGAATTGATGACAGCCTCAAATTATTTTCAAGTCGCATCCGTTATTAAAGCTGGTAGCGCCGATATATACAATACTCATATAAAATAATTTTAATTTAACGATTTTATTATCAAACGTAATCTTATTACAAAAATCATGTCTAATTATAATTTGGGAATATATATAATTGTATTGTATTTTGAGAGGTTAAGGAGACATGTCAGTTGATAACAGCTGATAATTGTAATGGGGAACATTATCACTGCCCAACACATATTTTGTTTCCTTTATTTTTTTCACTGTTATTAGTTATTTCTATGTCCCTGAATATGAAAAAAATACTAAAAAAATTGTAACAGCTTTAGTTTTTGAAATATATATTTTTTTTATTTTGACCAAAAACTCAGAAAATTAATACAAAATGTTTTATAAAATACAATGAAATGATCTTTTATAGGAATTTCTTGAATGAACGACTTCAGATAGATTTCGTTGCAAACTCCAGCAGTAGTTTGCCATCATATGTGAGTCCCACCGCCCCTGATAACGCTCTTCCAATGTCCTGGACCCTGGAGGAATCTTTCACCCTGCTCTTTACAGTAATCATCCAGATTTTTTGGAAATCGGTCTAAATGTGAACGCAGGAAGTGGATTTTTATGCTAATGTTGCACCCTAGTTGTTTCCAATTCGATAGCATGGCCTCAACAAGCTCCACGTAGTCGTCAGATTTATTTTTGCCTAAGAAATTACTAATAACCAAAAAAAATGAATTCTAAGGTTTCGATTCCACTTTAGTCATTGATTTGACAAAATCAGAATCTTTCACGAGTTGCCTGATCTGTTCTTGAGGTTCTTGGCTAGATTTGTAGACTAAATAAGAATCTTCACTTGATGAATTTCGATCGGGTTCACAGGGATTCGGGTCATCAGAAGATTTAGATTTGCCAAGTTGTACCTCTCATAATTTTAATTGGGGTAGTTGGGCAGAAGATAAGTTAGGATGTGGCCACTTATTTCGATTGCCAGGATTAATTTCTTTTACTTTCACAACGCAAAAGTAGCAGTCGTCATGATCGTTTTAAGGTTCTCGCACCTGACCACCTGTGTTTCGAATATTACTGCATCTCTGTTTCCATTGGACCACAATAGTAGCCATACAACACATTTTTGACATACAATATGAGGAATCCACGGCTTGTTCTGATTAAACAATTTTATTTTAAAGTATTGTTGATACACATTTTTCACAAGTTCGACATAGGTTTTCGATATTTTGCAAATACATATTCACTACAAATATAGCAAAAAGAGTCAGGATTAAGCACACAACATCTTCTTGACGAAGCCATATCGAAAACAGCAACAAAATATGTTGCAGTGTCGAATAAAAAATGCATATGTAGATGAAAGTAGTAAATGAGGGTAGTTAGCTGTAACTCAAAAACGAAAGCTGTTAGAGGAAAACTGTTTCGATATTTAAAAAATATACGTCAATTTAAGATAGAAACAAAAAAAACATTAAAGGAAACAAACAACTTTTATTTTTTTGTTGACCAGTGTTATCAAACGGATTTTAATAAAATTCAAATAGAACCAGAATTTTAATATGAAATATTATGAACTTTCCTGTTCTATCTGAGAAACTATTTCCTCTTGTGACTAACAAGTTAGGGTTTGGTAGAGAAAGGCGTTTAAGTTAAAAATAGTTATAAATATAAAGGTTGTAACCCTTGTCTTGTCTTGGTCCGTTTTGAACAGCCAGTCATCGCCAAAACCCTTCTTAATTGAACCATTTTAAGAGATTTCCCAGCGTTAAAAATGAAATCATCCTATTTCCATTCTTTCTGAGATTCAAGAGGTTTATCGGAGATGACGCTTAACCAACCAGGATACATCACCATCCTAAGGATTTCTATTACTCGTATTAATTTCAAAGATTATTGCTATAGTTGCATTTTCTCTTGCTTTCATGCAAAATAATTAAATAAGCAAAGTGTAATCGCAGCTCCATGTCAGCCTTTCACTACAGTATGAAACTGTCAGGCTTCAATATCAGAAAATATTTATTAAAAAATACATTGAATTTACGAGTACACGTCACAAATGTTATTTCATACAAATTAATTTCACATAGTATTCTTGCGAATTCATTATTATGACTCAGATCTTTGTTATTAATATAACAAAAAATTTAAATTAAATATATGTATTTTTTGACATACACATATAGTGTTGTTTATATTTATTTAATGAGCAAATTATTAAAACTTAAAAAGTTTCTTCTAATAAAGTGAAATTTTTGAGAGATTTTTGTTTTAGTTGTTAAAAGTAAATTGCAATTTGTTACATAATTGATTTAAGAATAAATAATTTTTAGTTTGCAATTATAAGAATGTCGTAGCAAAATTGAAGATAAGAAAATATTATATTAAGGTTATCTTGTTATAAAATCATTTCAAGTTCGTATTTTAAATGTGCTCTTGGTGTCCATGAAACAATATATAGAGTTAGAGTGGTATATTGAATAATGCTCACATAATTTTAAAAGTAAGTTGATTATTATTAAACCAGAAATGAAGAATTGCCTGAGACAATTGTAATTTTCATAGAATATACCTATATTTTGTTATTTAAATAAGTATTTTTTTTACAGAATGCTAGCCCTGTATTTATTGTTTTCTGTAATGGTTTGTTATATCGGTTATTTATTTATAAAATGGAATCAAATAAAGAATTATTGGGCTCAACGCGGAGTACCGTTCTCACCACCGAATATATTTTTAGGGAGCCTAACTTTTATTCAAAGGAAGAATGTGGTAAGTCATGTGTAATTACTTGATCTACAATCTCTTGATACATAAGAATCTGTTAGGTTTATTTTATTTGTAAATCTATTAAAATTTTTATATAATATGTATATGCGTGACTATTCCTTAATTTCAATCTTTGTATTTTTTTTTGAAAGAAAACGTAAGAAAATTTTGAAAAATTAATAGTCAATCCTTTATTGCTTTACATTATTTTATCATTGTTGTTATTTCAATACATATTATATTTATGTAGTACAAGTTCTATTTTATTTTATATTTAATATATACATATATAATGGATGTTAAACTATAGATATATTCATATGAGACGGGAAACATAGGAAAATACTTTAAAAATTAACCTTAATAATAATTATGACAATATTATTTTCAGGGTGTATGGATGCGTGAAATGTATGAACAGTTCAAATCTCCGTACATAGGAATCTGGTTAATATGGAAACCAGCTTTAATTATAAACGATCCAGATATTGCTCGGCGAATATTAGTTAAGGATAGTGCAATTTTTAGAGACAGATATTTGAGTTCTGGAAGCAGCGATCCCATTGGAGGACTAAATTTGTTCACTGTTAATGTAAGTGATTTCACTTAATTTCCTTTTACATTAAATTAATTTCGAAAGACATTATTCTACATATGATGCTTGTTTCGGCCTCTTTTTGAATTTGGTTTATTGTTAATTAAATTTATGTTGGCGAATATTCTTACTAATTTAATATGAAAAATTGTTTAACATACTTACAAAACAAAAATCAGAATTAGGAAAATCTGCTTATAGATAAATTAAAATAACATTGTTATATTATTTTTTAAGGATCCTGTGTGGACCAGCGTTCGTCGAAAATTATCGAATACATTCACTGTAGCTAAACTCAAGGCCCTCCATCATTATACATTGAGTAAAGTAGATGACCTGATAAGAAGAATCGAAAGAGACTGTGAAAAAGGGTTAGAACTTAAGGTATTCTTAATAATTATATATTATACTAGTTTTTGCCCGCGACTTCGTCCGCGTTAGTTTGGTCAAGAGTAATATGTAGGTATAGCTGACCAAGCGAACTCTATTCCGTCTTAGAGGCCATAAATAATCAGGTTTTTCCTGTTTCAGTCAAACAGAATGATTGACATATTAGTTAGTTGTCAAATCTAATGTCAAAAAAACGTTTGTATGGGAAATAGAAAAGGGCTGTTTTTAGGGCTTGCCCGGCAATTATTCCAATTTTTCTCACCTTTTATACCTTCCCTGAACCTCCACAAACATTTCAAGACTAAGATAAGATAAATCCGTTCAGCTGTTCTCGAGTTTTAGCGAGACTAAGGAACAGCAATCCATTTTTATATATATAGAAGATATGTATGGATGTTAGTAGAACACTTTCTGATTAAAAGTGGAAACAGCATGAAGTATTTCAATTCACTGGGGATAGGTTATTAGACAGGTTATGTTGGGGCTGGTCTGCCGGTCTAGTTTTGATACCTACCAAAAGCCCACATGACTTCCCTTAACAGTTCATTAAATCTCTATAGACTCATCAAGAGTTCCACTCTGTAATGCCTCAGATAGCTAGAGCACTCTTTCCAGAAATCTTTTAATCCGTAATTCTTTACTTTGTTATGTGTCGTAGTTTTAATATATTGTCAATTTCATATTACAGAGACTTTTCGTTGATTACACAACAGATGTTACTGGAACATTTGCTTTCGGTATTGAAAGTAATGCAACTCTTACATCTAAGGGACCTTTGAGAGAAATTACGGCTGACTTTGGAAAATTTAGTATATATAGAGGAATATGTTGGTTCAGTATATTCTTTTGGCCAGAACTAGTAGACATATTTAGGTAATACATATAATAGGTGTTGAATTAAATGTTCATTTTAGTTGTTATGAATATTATTTTTATGTCGATTTTAGATTTAAAATGTTCCCAAAGAAATCTATGTATTACTTTAAAAGAATATTTGAAACCGTTTTAAGTCGGCGTAGCAACGACAAAGGAGGCAAAGATTTCAAAGATGTAGTCGATGCTCTTATAGAGTTCAAAAAAGAAAAAGAACAAAACGATGAAGGTATTATTTAGTTTTTAAAGTTAATTTAAAGAAATGTAATTAATTTAATGTCTGTATTTTATCTATACGAAAATTATAGCAAATATTATGTTATATTATAATCTTTTATTACAGATGTTTCTAACGAATTTTTGATTGCCCAAGCAGCAATCTTGTTGTTTGGAGGTTTTGATACAACTTCAAGTAATCTGACTTACATGACTTATGAACTAGCTTTTAACAGCGAGTGCCAGGTACAATATAGTAATTTATTAAATTATTATAAATAGGAGGTATACTTATTTATTTTTTATTTTATTACAGGAAAAGTTATATAATGAACTTAAGGAAGCTGATGAAAGGAATGGAGGAAATTTCGACGCTAACACCGTGTCTGAATTAACTTATCTCAATTGTGTTTTAAAAGGTTTGTTACTGTTTGATGTTAAATTGTATTAGGTGGCATTAAAATGTTTTTTATTTTTAATAAAATTTTAGAGTGCCTCAGAAAATATCCACCAATGGGCTACCTCGATAGAATTGCCGCTACGGACTATGAGATTGATGATAAATTGACCATCAAAGCTGGTACAGTAGTTTATGCGAACGCTGTTGGTCTACATTATGATCCAAAATACTTCCCTGAGCCTACGAAATTTAATCCTGATAGATTTTTACCAGAAAATGTGAATAAGATTGAACCATATACGTTTTTACCGTTTGGAGATGGACCAAGAGTGTGCATAGGTGATGATAACTATTTTAATTTAAACTTTATATGCATTTAAAATTTGTTTTTTGTTATAAATTAAAGGAAAGATAACTTATTTCCACTGTTACTGCTAAATGTAATAATTTAGGTCAAACCAAATAAAGTAACTTAAATTGTGATTATAATTTTTCACTTAATACATTATTAAAAATAACTATTATATTTATTTTTTCAGGTCAAAGATTTGCCATATTGACTGCACGAACAGCTGCGTCACAATTGTTTCTGAGATACAAGGTTCGACCTCTCCCTAATACTCCTGCACCTAATGACGCTAAAATCGACTGCAAAGGCCTTTTGTTGCATCCCGGAGAACCAATGCGTGTTGAATTTATACCGAGAGAAAAAAAGTAAAACATGGAAGTTTAACTTAGCTTAGTTTTATATGGAGGAAATATGTGTAAATATATGTAATTTGTCACAACTAAAGCCGTTTTGGTAAAAAATAATAATTGTGCAATGGACTAATTAAGCAAAGTAAATGATAAATAAGATTAAAATGACGAGTGAAATATACAATAAATGGGCTAGTAATAAAGTTACATTAACAAAAGATGTTTCATTGATTTTATGGCAGTGTATTGTGTATTTTTTTGTTCCATATACATGCACATTCATATTCACAAAATGAAATCGGTGTAAATGACAACTGATTATTTATTATTGGTAGTTATATAAGATATAACAATAATATAACTTGACACAATTCAAGAGCATTGCGGATGAATGTGATACTTTTATATAGTGCTGGTCACAGCCAGCCAGAGTCCAGAAAAAACTATGAAACTTAATAAGCCATATATTGTTTATATTAAAAATTAAGTGGTATAACGAATCTTCTGGTTCATACAGTCAGGTGGACCAACATGGTGTAAGTAGCCTGTCTCGTTACAATACATTTTATCGATACAACGGTTCTGACACGATTTTTACTTCATATTTTAATATGTGTTTCGCTTACGTACACGTTTTAAAATAAAGTTTATTATAAATAAAAAAATATTATGTATCAAGCGGCATTACGCAGATGTAATATTTGCAATTGAAATGTAAATATTCGATGAAAATTTTCACATACGTGTATGTGGTTTGCGTTTATGATATGTATATTGTATACGTATAAATAAAATTTAAGGATGTTATTTCTGTAACAATATTTTATCAATTTCTCTTTTTTATGTATAGGAGTACGGTGTTAAAATACAACTTTTTATAAGATGTATATTTATGTACATGTATATATTTTGTCTTTTTTAACTTTGTTCATGTTCTAAACTGATTTACATATAATTTAGTTTCTTTGCTGAGTGGGATATTTCATAACAGTATTTTATGTTAAAGTTTAACGTATGTATGTGATGGAATAGTCCTCAAAATGATATGAAACAATTACACATACAATTCAAAATATAAAAACACTAGAATAAAAACTGAGATTCGAACTATTAAACTATTCAAGTAAAATAAATCCCGAATAAAAGTAATTTGTGCACTATTTATCTTTCGCTTATCCTTATCGCTTGGAACACAACTTTAAAGTCACTTTGTACAGTTATTTTATACTAATCGTTCTGCCTGTTATTTAAATAGATGCAAATAGATTATAAAAAGCAAGTTTGAGGATAACAATTCAGCATAAGATAAAAAAACAAACACGCAATAGAATTCTTGACGTCAGTACAAATTCGTTGTTATTAAATAGAAAGTAAGGTCAGCATAACTGACGTCACCAATGCCTTTCTTCTCGTCTGTCGTAAGGTTTGACGAAGCCCTTATTTTAAAGACGTCCACTCCCTGCAACGGTTCGAGCTTGAATGTTTTCTTTTTCGCTCGACTCTATTTATAAGAACGACATTCATTTTTGTGACTATACTTGAATCGGTGGTTACACATGTGGATAATAAGATGATTCCTGATAATTTTAATTGCTCTTAATTGTTGATTATGTAAATAATAGGTATTGTACCGATTTAAAACATGAAATCAAACATTTTTAATATTTAACGTGGGAAGATTAGTTCTTTATATAATTTGTAGGAGAGTTAATGATTCTAAACATCTTGGAGTTGATCATCAACATATATATACAGTTTTGTTATTTGAAGAACTTTCTAGCCACTAAAAAGCATTTAAGATAGCCCACAGTTAAGCTCGTTGTACTACAAAAATTATGTTTACATAAAAAGAGTTACTGACAAAAAAAGTTAAAATTTTGAAGACATTTTCATTCAGAGTTTCTTAACTAAATTTTTTTTATTATAAGATTTTGACTGCTAACAGCTTATACTAAGTATTTATTAAGAAACGCTTTTAAAAATTGTAAAATATGGAGAATTGAAAATATATATATCATAATAGTAATGTAGTAATAGTAGTAATCAGTATCAAATAATTATATTTTTCCAAATAAACACTTATATAAATAAAAAAAAAAGTATAAAATAAAGCATGACATGGTTTTGCTAATTAAATGTAAAGCAACCCCTTAATTTAACTGATGAGATGGATCACAATCATCTGTTTGCCGAAATACTTTTAAAGAAAAATATTATACCCAATTTGTAATATAAACCTGAGATTCAAAATTAATCCTAAACCTCAATATCTAAAGTAAGGGTGAATAAAGGCAAATAAAGTCATAATACCTAAGGAACCGTTGGCAGTAGATGACAATTAATATTCCAGGACATGCCACAATACAGACATTTTCATATAGTCTTCAATGGAAAATGGTTGATGTCAAATCATTTGGGAATTCTGATGTGTTTGCGTTTCAGAAGATATGTGTCTGACAGAGAAATAAGCCTATTAAAATCAATGACTATCAGCAATTACACCCCTAAATAGTACATAATATACAAATATGGTCAAGTAATTGTAGAGAATCACCCTCACTATAAATTATTTCATGTTCAAATTAATTGGATTCATCAATCATTAATGGCTTGTATTGTGCAAAATGTACATGTACACATAACATGTGTATACATTCACACCTTTATAAAAAAAGGCATAAAATACAATTCGACTTTAATCTGACTTTATCTAGCTAGTTTAAATGAATACCTAAATATATATAAATGGATTTTATGACTTTTGAGCAACAATATTCTATTTGTAATTTATGCACTATACGAGTATAAATTATAAAATAAAATATTGCTACACCTTTGTTACATTTTATTAAAAAACTATTTTCTTTATTGTTTTTTTTTAATGGATTTTACAAATACCTTTTTGGTTATGATTGTTAGATTTTATTTGGTGTTAGTTATTATTTGGTGTTAGCTTCCACCACAATCATATTAGCATGTCAATATAAATGTAATTACTCTTCGCCCCTAATGTGTTTGTCGTTGTATTGGAGGTCGAATCTGCAATCGATACCCATACGTCAACTGACCATCATTTCGAACTGCCACAACTAACCCAACCGCACGTTTTAATATTAATGTCATAATATTTTTAAATATTTATTTTTAAAGACACCATAAAAAACTAAAGAACACAAATTCCAAATGCAATTTGGGAAAACATAGTGATATTTGTATAATAAAATAATGAATTGATATATATATCAATTCGTATACGAATACGAATAGGCGTTTGGTACGAAAGTTGAAATGGAGGCAATGATTGACCCGGTGTTGGTGACGTCACTTCAAGTAGGTCGCAGCGAGGTGACCTGTTTGGACACGACTTGTGGGCGTCTGGCAGCCGGCATAGGAGATGGGACGCTTAAACTATGGCGATGGAACCGAGCTTCAGGCTGGTTACTGCTTTCTGAACAAAAGCGTGCTCATCGATACGGTGTCACAGGAACACGATTTGCCGCTTCTGGAGTTCTACTTGCAACAGTTGGAATTGATGGTGCTGCAAGAATATGGTCTGCATATGAAAATCTGCTTGAAAAACGTACGCTGGCTGGTCCGGATACGGCAGCAGCTAGATCTTTGCAGTGGGCAACGAGCGAACGATTGGCTGTTGGACATGACGACGGGGGAGTTCGGGTATGGGATGTTCGAGGTGGAGCATTGCTAGCATACATACGACCTCATGAAGGAGCAGTCTACGCGCTAGCAACATTGGCTTATAATGCTCTCTTACTTACTGCTTGTACTGATGGCGTTTTAAAAGTTTTCGATTTTCAAGGTAAATGAAACAGTTTGGGTATATTATTTCACAATTAAACAGATCTATAAGTCTGTCTTATATATATTTTTTTCTACAAGAAGATTGATATATAAATAGATAAGATAACATAATATAACATAAACATCGTTAAGTGTAATTTTAGCTACATGATAACTAAAAGTGAATTCTTTAGTAGTCTTGTATGAGGACAATTTGTTACTATTTTTATAAAAATGATATATTTTATGTTTATGTCGAAGAAAAATCATTAAAGTGGAATATAAAATTCTGTTTGATACGTTATGAAGGTAAAAGTTTCACTTTGTGTACTCTTTATTTTCTTGTAAGGTACAATTAAATTACTGAAAATACATATATCGCAATAATATTTTGTTAATTTTTATATAATTCAATACACTACATATTGATAACAAAATAAACAAAATGTCATTTAGACTTTCTCGTCACTTTTTTTTTATTAAAAAAAATGTGATTATGCGCTTGTTATGCTTTCGTACGTACGTACAACGTCTGTTAGGGAATAACATCCAACATTTTCTTTTATTTTAACTATTTGTATAAAATTATTAGTAGTATTTATACTTGGTAATGTAAAACCACAAACTATTTTTAATTGATTTATTCTTAATTGTCTGTGAAAAGTTATATTATCCGACTTTAACCTTTAATTTGTCATCTGAATTTAATGTTTAAGAAGTAACAGCATATGGAAACGATGGCAATGCTGGACCAACACCACTTTTTTGGGAGGATGGAGCTCATGATATGGGAGCACAGTGTAGTACGGAATGTGGTCGTGACGCAGCTACTGGGGGGCACGATGGACGCGTGAGGATTTGGCGAGTTTCTGGTGTTGGAAGACAAAGACGAGTCGAAGCAGATGTAACTTTGACTGGTCACACAGCTGCCGTTACATCTTTGAGATGGAAACGTGATCTGCTTACATCAGCGTCACTAGACCGCACTGCGAGGTTGTGGTCCGTCAGCTCAACCGTCTGTCTCCGAGTCTTGCATGCACATTCACGTTACCTTACATGTATTGCTTTATCAGTGGATCTGAGATACATAATAACGGGTAACTTGATAGTTCTTTTACATTGTATATAAGTAATTAGGCTGATTTAAAAGATTGTTTATGGATGTGATGCTTATACATACATATCATTCATTTGCTATTGCTTCCTAAAATTCAAAACGAGCATTGTCCTTATCAAGGTGCATTGTTTCATTTCTTTATATTTAACTTACTTTTTTAGGTTCAAACGATAAAACAATACGGACATGGTCTTTGGGCGTCTTCTCTATAGACGATGACATTCAACCGGAATGCAATCATATTGTACATTTTGGACTTGGTGACCTTGAGGTAAATTTATTTATAAGAATCAATAAATCAATTATTTTTGTTAAGATTTTATATCCAGTTAAATGTTTAGGGAATCGGTCCAGTAGATGATGATATTGAAGATGCTAATGACACAGTGGTATGTACAAGTATGGGAACACATCGCATCGACCGCGTGCAACACGCTGCAGCAATTAACTGCATTGCTGCATCTCAGTCATTAATCGCAACTGCCTCCAGGTAGCCATGATTTTCAGTTATTTTATACTACAAAATCTTTAGTATGTGCACTTATATACTGTGACGTTTCTTAGTGATGGATCCGTAAAAATATTCAGATGGTTTTGGAAAGATGAAGGTTTTAAACTAAATCTAGAGTTGGAACTATCAGCTCACACTTATCCAGCCTTGGCTGTTGATTTTGGTGCTAATGATGCACTCTTACTAAGTGCTGGGCTTGATGGCTGTGCTCGGCTTTGGGATATTATGGTTAGTATTTACACATAAAATACTAGACTGATTTCTAACGATAAGAGAATAATCATTTAAATTAAACTAATATTTTCGGATTTACTACACGATTTTTATTTTTGACTACGTACTCCCGGTTACTTTACAGAAACCGTGATTACGGGAACCGTGACACCTCGTCTGCCCGTAATCACGATTGCTGTAAAGTAACCGACACGTCGGGAAAATCTTAAATCTTATTAAGAGCATAATCAGATTGGTGATCTATGCAGTTTTATTCAATTTATGACATATTTAATGGTATTCGTTTTATTGACAGTCAGGTTGTGAGTTGCTTGTTTTGACGGCGGACAGCAGTCAGTGGCGCGGAGATGGCGGTGGTGGTGTGAGGGACGCCCGTGTATCTCCTCACCACCCGCCGATGATGCTGCTCTCCAGTGATGATGGATTCACAGCATTGTGGGGCATAGAACAAACAAGCCCGGACCCCATAAAGTAATTTTTGTTTATAAATACTTTTCGGTATTATATATTTTTATAAGAAGGATATTTTAACGAGTATAATAGAGAAAACTGAAACTCTTTCGTGTTATGGACAAATTGAGGATTAGATGTTATCGTTCTAGTATTCATAATATAGAAATCGATAAAACGCATTGTTGGGATTAATTACCACTTTAACTGTATTCAAAAAATATATTCTGGAAGACTTAAATAAATGTAATATAAAAGATAGGAAGTTAACGACAAGTGTTTAAAAAAATATATTGTTAAAATAATTAAATTCATTACGAAAATCTTTGCAAATATAATATTAAAAATGTTGATATCCTTTACCATATTCAATTTCCTTTTATTTATTTCAGAAATAGAAGATAAGTTTAAAGGGTTGTTGTTTTATTCCAGAGTATATCCAGGTCTTGTGGAAGCAGCGTTATGCTGCGCGTGGTCTGCGGACGGTGTACTGGCAGCGGCAGGAGGAGCTGCTGGTGAATTACAGCTGCTCGCTCCACCTCGTCCAGACTGTTTGTATCAACAGAGTGATGCTCATGATCTTGGTATATTTTTGTTCTAGATCAGCCTTATATTTATCATGGCTTTATGGCAGTACTTTCCTTATAATGTCGACACCATAATATATTAATATTCTTATTTCTTTTTTTATTGGAAAGTATAATAAATAATCCATTATTTATAATTTGTAAGGATTTTTTTATACGTGATAGGAAAGTCTAAAATTGGCTTGCATCGTCATGGAATGCTACATAATAACTACTTACTATTTATCTGATTTTGAATATAAATTATGTATTTGAATTCATTTGAATTCAAAGAATCACATATTGTACCTTAATTTTTAAAATATATTTTCAACTGTCTTATGATTGTCAATTTTCGTTTGGTTAGGGTACTTCAAATTCATTGAGTACACCAAAAAATATATATGATTAAAATATATATTTTTTATGCCATGATTATTAGTTATTTGATATGAAAGAATATGTTTTATAGTATTGCTTTATAAAATGATGTAACTTTTCTTGCAGGAGTTCTTAGTTGTGATTTCGCACCCATTTCCCACAATAATGAGTCTGAAAGTGAAAGTAAAACGTATCTTCTCGCAACGGGAGGGCGAGACGCTTTAATAAAATTGTGGCAAATAACTACGGAAGTTGAAGACGATCACATTGAATGTATAACATTAAATTTAGCAAGGGCTCTAGCAGCCCATGGCAGTGCAGTGCAATGTGTACGTTGGGGTCAATTTGGTCGATATGAGAATGAATTAGCACTAGCCACAGGTGGGGCAGATCGTTGGGTTCGTGTGTGGCGTGTTACTGAAACGAAAATGGGTCTTGAAGCTGTTGCAACAGTCTCTGTGCCTGCTGGAGCGGCGGGGGGCGCGCCAGCTGTACGTCTTTTAGCTTACGAGCGGACGTCACTGCTGGCTGTCGGATCGTTATCTGGCACACTTGCTTTGTGGCAACTCCCAAATACCGATCTCATGGAAGAATGTGAGGGAGCAGAACCACGATTTTGGAGTATAAGTGGAGTCATGAGGTGGTTATATGAGTATGTTACGAGATCAACCGGTGAGTTTTATCACTGTTTATTTAAAATACTGATATACCCTGCCTTATTAGTCACTATGAATCCATGGGGTATTTTACAATCTAAATTAAGAAAGTTAAAAAAATTAAAAACGATAACTACGAGTAAGTTTAACAAAGTTGTATCAAACCACCAAATAACAAAACTTTGCAAAAGTTTCCTCGGCTTTCTTTTACTGTACAAAATAACTTGAAAATCAATTCATTAAGTTTTTTGTGTTCTGATATAATGGAAAACTTAGATTAACGACATTTTTTCTATATAAGAATAGAATAGAATAGTCATAAGAAGTTATTATTTTATAAATTTTATAAGTAAACTATGCTTAACTTTAGATTAATGAAAGGATTCACCTAAATGAATGTAATATTTTTTATTAAAATCTTAACGACATCTTAATGCATATTTTACTCAATCTTCTTCTTCTATATATATAAAAATGGATTGCTGTTCCTTAGTCTCGCTAAAACTCGAGAACAGCTGAACGGATTTATCTTATCTTAGTCTTGAAATGTTCGTGGAGGTTCAGGGAAGGTATAAAAACTGAAAAAAAATTATTCATTACTGGGAAAACCATAAAAACAGCCCTTTTCTATTTCCCATACAAACGTTTTCTTTCACATTAGATTTGACAACTAACTAATATGTCAATCATTCTGTCGCACTTCAAAACACGGAGATTTATGACTCACAGATAAACTCCAAAAATATAAATAAAATAACGTAACAGATATTTCTTGATTATAGGGCGATACGAAGTTCGCCAGGTCTTCTAGTATTATAATATTATAACAATATAATATTAAAATTTAATTATTCTTATTAATATTAAAAATAGAACCTTATCATAATAAATAAAATATTTTACAGAGGATGCAGACAATGTAGAGGATATAGAAAAGCGTCTGACTGAAGCAGTACGAACCTCACAAATTACAGGAGCTCGATTACTAGATGACCCTCTTGAAGAGTTAATAAAGGCTTTTGGTTACGGAGATGGTTTGTAATACATATACTTTGTCATAAAATATGTTAGAAAATCTATAGTTAATTGAACCTCTTTCTTGTAGAAGATAATGACGAAGAGGTAAACGATGAAAACACTGCCATACATGACAGGTTAATTGATGAAATACTTTGGCTACGCAGGGGACCTATGAACCTCGATCTGGTAAATTTATGTAAAATGCACTTGCAAAATAAAAAAGACGAATTGATTTTTGTATGTATTGATATGAACCGTTGTTAAATGGAAGAAATTTTTTTACTCACAAAATTGAAGGCTTATTTAAACCAAAGTCCAAACCCGAACAGTATTTTTGTGTATAACAGAATAGAATAATTTGTAGTTTGTAAACTGTTCTATTGCTGAACTTTCTAAATATTGAATGAACGTCACAAGAAGAATTGTATTTTTGATTTCATTTTTTAATTTTTTCAGGAGTCATCGATTCCGCATGCACTACGATGTCCCATATCGCACGAAGTGATGACAGAGCCAGCCCGGGCTGCTGATGGTTTTACCTATGAACGACAGGCCTTCCTCGACTGGTGTCTAGCTACCGGACCAGGTATAGAAATATCAAAGAATGATTTGTAAACCTATGTACCTAACTTGAAACATAGTACATTATGAGATATACAGTATAAGATTCGAATAAAATTTACTGTTAAATAATAATATTTATGCAAAATTTCGTTTAAACAGAAGCGGTACGGTCACCGGTAACTGGTCGTCGTTTACGTAGTACGATTGTGGCTCCGAACCGATTGTTGCGCGAGCGACTTCGAGAACACTGCGCTTGGAAACGGTTGCCATAATATTAATATTTCTTTACATGAATATTAAAAATAATATACATATTCGTTCTTACGGAATTTGTAAATTCTGATAATGCATATTTGTCTTTTATATAATGTTACATTCTGTCTCTTCTGTATGTTTTTTACTAAAACTCATTTTACGTATTTAGTATTGAAAATTTTTGGAAAGGTTGTTTATAAGTTATATAAATAAATAAATGAGGAGGTTACTTGTGAAGCGTGAGACAAATATACGATACAATTTTGTTCTGGACTTTTTAATAACAATTTTAAACATTCTAATGATAGAAATACAAGTATTGAATTTTTATTACTTAAACCTAACTTCCTGGAAAAATAAAACAATAAAGCTATCTAATTTTGAAACAAACCTTCATTAATATTATCCCTTGAGGAAGGCTTCGTTGAAGACAATATTATTTCAGTCCTGTGGCATTTTAAACACTGACCATATTAATATGCAAATATAAAACGACTAATCATTTGCTTTGTAATTGCCGAATATAAAAATATATTTGATTTCAGCGTGTGTTGGTTGTCAAGGCAATATTATATCGCTAGCATCTGAATCAGGATAGTAGACTACTTTTTTTAGTCATGAATATTTGTTGGTACTTGGTACAGTTAAAAAGCATTATTTACCTTAATAAAATTCCAGTCTTCTGGTTAATATGTAATCCAAACGAGTGAATCAGAGCAAACATGTAGTCATATTTATAGCTCTTAAGAGAGTCAAATACATTTTTAGACTTACTATTCTAAATCATAGTTTATATTTACAAGATCACATGAATTGTAGCTATCTTGTTTGTGATCTAAACAGTAAAATATATTTTTCTTCCCTCTGCATGTTTTTTTAAAGGGAGAAAATAATCAAATAACCCTCTTATCATGGGTGGGACAAGAGAGAATGTCAGACTCCTACTTACTAAAGCTTCTTCTGCTCCGAACCAGCTCTCTGTATGGTTAGGGTTTCAATGACAAGTTTAGAAAATTTCACAGGTTTAGTCTGTGTTGGTAATTTAAATATTATGGTTAAATATATGTATATTTTTTTAAATTTCGGCCACATATACAACTTTTCTTGGGTATTTTAGTCCATTGTGCAGACTTCATTAAATGTATTACTAATTCATACTGCTCTTATCACGACATTCAGTTTATAAAATTTTATTTAATACTTACTTTGATTTTTTTATTTGATCTTAAATTTCTGTTGTTTTAAACTGCGTTTCTAAATGTTCTTAAATACCTGAAAAATCAACTTTATCTAAAAATATTTAACTGCTTCATTTATATTAATACATATAATAAAGGAATACAATTTATTTGTTGCTTGACCAAAGCTTCTAATTTTACTATTGTATAATACTTGACAAAGGAAAACTATTTAATATTCAAAATGTTTCATAAAAATTAATAAAAATTGAAAAAATCTGTTTATTACTAAATGAACCTAATTATATAAAATACACAAGACAATGACAATAACATGTACACATTATCTATAAAAAAATATAATATGTATTCTATTTTATTTTTATAATGGTATAGAAGTAAACAAGGAAAATAATAGGCCATTGTAAATGTTTCAACGATCTCATTTTTATTTATGTTACTTACATAAATATATTTACAAGTGAGGCAGTAACAGTGTCAACGAATGAAACTTACTTTAACTCCGTCTCACTGGTCTTAACATAAAGTAACAAACACCGAGTTTAGTTCAGGCTCGCAACGTTCTTTGACGTCAAACGATCCTGTTATAGATCGGCTTAAAAAAATCTGAGGGCAAAGATTAATACTAATTTTATCGCTTGGCGATAAAATACATGAAAGCCCAGGACCGCAATAAAACGATTTCGATGTCAATTTAGTGCGTGACCGACTATGAGGGGCGGCCGTCGTGGGCTGGCGTTCCGGGATTTCAATATTACATGAAATTATACTTATGTTATAAAAAAAAATCTATCACTAACGTAACGCTTCGATATAATGAACGGCACCGAATTTAAAACACCCATCCCGGAAAGAGCTCACTCGCCCTGGACTATTATTAGAGATTTATATAATATTTATTATTTATAATAGTATTTACAAACTTTACAGAGGATCCCGAGACATGTCGGGAAATTATAATAGTTCAGAGAGCGCACTGTCGTCCGTTTATGGGACAAAGCACGCCTCTTCAATTAATCTATTCGACTGAACCACTCTCCCACGGTTATCAAAGTTCCTAGTGGACGAACACTTCAGTTTAAACTCATTTACATCTGGAGTGATACACAATAATAAGATTATCTTCATATGATGTGACTGAGAACCGAGGTTATCCAACTGTCATGGCTTCTGAATATTGCTTGTAGTGTGGAGGATATCGGTCTCTCCGTGATGCGAGCCCGGAGGTCCGCCGCCTCGCTATTTTGGTGTATCGTCATCATGGCACTGCAGTCTGAAACAAGTTGATAATTCTTATTATCACCCATTACAATTTAATATTAATATAAAAAAATAGTTTTTACTAACTGTATGAGCAAGGCAAGTGCGAGCAGTGTTAGTACGCGTTCGGGACGTGGTGCAGCGCGGAACACCATCGACATCAAGCCCAATGTGGGCAGAGTATTCAGCAGCAAAGGCAGCGCTACTAGCAAGGGCAGCGCTGAAGGGGCAGGTGCACTGTTACCGTGTTGCATCGCTGCGGGCTGCTCACCTGCAAAGTTTAGAACTCCTAGTTTATAAAACCATAACGGCTACTCACCAAGAACTAATAGTCGATATCATAGTAAACATAAAGTGGCTGACCGCTTAGGACATGGAGTACAACGGAGGCGGAATCCAGGTTGGAAGGTGAACACGAGTAGTTGCCAGAATCCTCACGGCGTGGGTTGTAGATGATCAGATTTCCGATCTGCAAATATAAAAGTTTCTTAGTCTTCAATTCTTTAAGGTATTCAACAAACATTATAATATTTAAAGTAATTACAGTAGTATCTGGTGCCAAACGTTCCATTCGAATTTCCACTAGACTTCTGTCATAATTTAGCACTCTCTCATCGTTGTGGTACCAGAAGATGTAAGCTGGCTCCTCGAGGGCCTGGGTGATGACGCACTTCAGGCTGACAGTGCTACCCGCCTTTACATACAGGTCGGATTCACCGACAATCTCAATTTTTGGCACTGGAAATAAGAGCGAGTATTAATTTTTTTTAATTAACAAATACACAATACAATCAAAAAGAATATTATCATCGTCATGAAAGCATATTGAGGTATTTTATATACATAGTTATGGTTGAAAATTTTTGTTCTTATTATACTGAAAGCATTGTACTATTTTGATTTTGAATGCATTAACATTAAGGATGAAGAACATTTTATGACATGTAAGACATCACTGAATATGAATTCATATGAACCACAAATGGCCAGAACGTTTGAGAATATCTAATGAGTCCTCACCGACGACGTTGAGTTGCACGAAGTGACTCATCTTGGGCTCGGTGCCAACCTGACACTCATATACTCCGGCGTCCCGAGCTTGCACGTATTTAACCTGCGATTGATAGGAGATTTTTATACGTAGCTTAAGTTACAGCTTTATTGGTATCGTAACAGCTTAATTGGTATCGTACCTGAAGTGTCCAGGTGTCCGTGGCCTCTACGAGGAAGGCCTGGAACCTCTCGTCTGCAATGAAGGTGAACCGGTCCACGGTTAGAATGTGAGCATCACGACGTCTTATCCAGGATACAGATTTATTACTCAGTTGACGGACCTGAAACAGAAACAATAGGTCATAAAGACGAGTTTAAATATATGAATGTTTTTGGTATATGAAATAATCTTTATATGTACCCACAATAAATTTAATAAAGTTATTTATGCTCCTTATAAAAAAGTTTCAAAGAAAGAATTTATGTATCTGAAAAAATTGTAGGCTTATTTTTATATATAGATGATAATAAACTTATCATTTCTTTATATATTATTGGTACGGTATGTTATTGATTATATAGGTGTTAAGTGAATTGTAGATTACCTTGCATGGTAGATATGCGTGGGTGCCAAGCTGAGCAGTGATGTTATTTGGAGCTGCGGGGTCGAAGTAAGGTCCGGTGTAGAGGCCCACATAGCGACGAGAGCGAGCTCCCCCGCCCGTCTCACCACAAGACAGTACTGAAACAACAATTTTGTCAATATATATGTATCATTTGATAAAACTAGCCCTATAAATATAATTCTTCACAAACAAATACCCCAAGCTAGTTTAATTTATTGTTATTTTACATAAACATAAATAATTTGTTAGTCCTTAATCTCGACTTCGTATTAAATAATGATCAATGCTGTAACGAGTATTGTACAAGGGGATAATTAAGAAATATAATAACAATAATAATGTATATTTTATTTATGTTAAAATATATTGATTAAGATCCGAAGATAGCTGAACTTGCGGCGCCGAGGGTGATTTACTTCAGCGGTTGTTGGGTTCATAAATTACAACCGCACTGGAGCTCGTACTTCTTGATAACTTTATGTTGCGATATACTATATATCATATCGGTGCTCCCGAGAGATGTTGGCTTATCTTAATGTTTTATGATTCATATTATTAAATTAATAAAACTTCTATTTTGAATATTACTAACAATAAAGAACCCATAACCTAGAACTTCCTTGAAAATGAACTAATGTTATTATTGTATTGCCTCACATATCATGCATTTTATAAAACTAAAGTTGTGTCGTGGTATTTCTTGGCTAATTATTTATATTTTTTCAAAAAAAAAATTTCAATGTCAATTAAAATAACATTAATATCTTTACATCGTGGTTAACATATTTTTCGTGAAATCAATTTTGAATGTTTTCTAGTTATCCGACTGTTAAGGCAGCACGCTAACTCCAAGCACAAAGTTTATGAAAACGTTCACCCTTAGTATTCCGCGGATTATCCTCAGACGACGTATTCCGTTCAACTTTTAATATCGGCTGTATGCATAAAGTATCACTTCGCACCCTCGGGAGGCAGTCACGAAGCAATGCGGAGTTTACAACCACTTACCGAGTTCAGTAAAAAGTCGGAACTCATTTGCGTTTATTTCCCTTCGGCACTGTTGTAGTCTCAGACCGAGATTTATGACGGCAAGAAGAAGGCAGTACTAGCTGTCCGTGTAGTTGGTGGTCGTTAATTAATTACGATAACAACTGACTCAGATGTTGCACCGACCCTTTACTTTATAAACGTCTTGAATGTTAATACGATTCACTAGTGTTACTATTGGGTTGTCTTAATAATGTGGTGACTTAAAAGTTAAATATCTTACATAGTTTTTGAAAGGCTACTAAGGATTACATGATAAATGAAATTTAAAAGAAGCAGCATTGTTTAAAGCGACGTTGGATATTATTCATAGGTTTTTTATAGTGCATTGATTGACGCTTTCAACTGTGTTAAACTTCACGGGTTCCCTTAACCTCTTATTTAATTTCATTCTAAATTTATATGATAATTGTTCAGTGCAAACATAACACGTTTGTACTAAAGTATTACGGCAAATAAATAATTATGTAACAAATAAAGAATTGTTGAAGTAACAATCTTGTATAAAATGGACTCACATAACTTTGAATTTCTAGAAGTTTCCTCACTGTGCTCAGTGACCCGACCGGGATAAGTACAAAAACAAAAACATACACAAATATCGTGTATCGATACTCCAGAACACAAACTTGTACTGAATCTACAACTCTAGTTTATACTTTAAAATAATACAAATAATCCTCAACGTTTGAAGTATCTTAAATTATAGTTTCATGAGTGTTGTAGCATGTGTGATTGCTTCGTCGCTGAGCGGCTGCTCGTTCCCCTTGGATTGAGTCTCGTTTATTTTATATGTAATCTGTTTTCCAATTAAAATTCCATGCAGAATACAAAAATACAGAATATAAAATAACGGGCTTAAGCGATAATTTTTGAGCAAAATTCTTCAATTATATCGAATAAATTCTTTTGTGAAAATATTGGTTATATCTACAGGTTTTTAAGCATATTTTTTTATAATTAAAAGTAAAATGAAATATATGATTTAATTGTTGTATGTTGTATTAATGTATGAGTAAAAATATTGTTGAAGTTGTAAAATACAAAGTCTTCATTTCGTATCCAAAGTATATAATGATAATTTTAAATTTATTGTAGGAGAAAAATATGAATCTGAATTTTGAAATGATATTTTATAAGTTGTCATGGCAGTACAAATGTTAGATTTTGGTTTTAAATTTATATTACTTTTCTTTCTACAAAAATCAACTGAAACTTAATTACCGATAACAATTTTTAGTTCTTTATACAAGACTTTTTCATTTAATATAATCTTACACAAAATTATTTGTCACTATAATTATACTGTTTTTATTCCAGGATTATCACGAGCACACATTTAAATGAAACTAAGTTATTTTGATACGACGACTTTTATTTCATAACTACATAAACCCGACGAGAAATCTTGATCAATTTTGAAAATAATTAAAAACGTGTAGTAAAAATAACTTAGTTTCCCTAACTTTATTTAAATGAATCAGGTTTCCGAAATAATATGTGAAGAAATGAAATCAAAACTCAAAATACAAGCTATAAAAAGAATATTAATATTAGAGGACAAAGTTTATACAATTTAAAAGCATGTTTAAGAACAAAGCACCCGTTTTTGCTGTGAACAATTCATCCTCCAGCTTAATTTTTGTGATATCTGGGATCTCTTTTTAAACCAAAATGACTTCATATGACACTGTGACCTTTCTACCGCAAATGATCTCACTAAATATATCTCATTTGTATTTCTATTAGATGTCATTGTATTATTATGAACTTATATTTTTTTATTATGACATATGACAGACGTTAAATAAAATTTATAACAATGAGACCGTAAGTCTTAATCTTGTTTAAAGTTTAAACAAAAATTAGAAATAAGTATTTAAAAAAATAGTCAAATTATATAAAAAGAGATATTTTACTTTGCTTATTACTAAGAATAAATGTTGTTATAGCGCGATATTTAAAGGAGAATCGCAATTAGAATCTGTAAAAGCTGCTTAATGAACTTAAAAAATATACGAAAGACATTGCACATTTAAATAAACTGTTTATTTTATAGATATAGATAGTGAATTAGTCGAATGAATTTTCCACTTCTAAGATATATATGATATTGCCAATGCAACTTCTAAGTCGTGTAAGTGCACCAAAAGACCGTATCGAAAGTCAACAAAGGCCATAATCTAAGCAGTTTATTTAACAACGTTAACATCGTATGGCTTCGTACAACTTTTATCATTCCACCTGTATTTATATGAGTGATATAACAATTTAGAGTGTTGGGTGTTATTGCTGGTTGGCTGGCCGACTGGCGGACTGGCGGACTGGCTGGCCCGTCGCCAATGACCCACAAACCCGAGAATGGCGTGTATTAGGTACACTCCATTTCATTCCTATAATGACCTCAATGATTACGTGTTTTGCTTATTTAATGGCCTTTCGCAGAACAAGACTCGTATATCTGTTCTTATAATATCATATTGTACCGCACTTTAATCTCGACGTTTAGCGCTATAATAAAAGTTAAAGTTATTAAACTTACGGAGTTGGTCGGAAGTATTTCGTGGTGAAATTTCAACATTTATAAAAGCGAGTTTAATTTCAGAGCTAAGTCGCGGCTTTTAAACTATGACGCTAACTTTCAAGTGGCATCCCGTATGCACGGAAGTGATTTATGCTCTTTAATTTTCTGAACACACATTAAAGACCCACGTCGGTCAATTCCTTTGAGAGAATATGTTTCCGTCATTTTAGTTATGTATATTTTTTTAATTTAAATTTATAAATTTTAAGGACATCTTTGAAAATGTTCTCCTGCCTCGATTTCCAATCCATTTGGTTAAATGTATATCTAAACAACTTAAATTTCAAGCGTACCTACACAGAAACTCAACATTTATAATACAAAATATACTTACTAATTGTGATAATATGTAAGAACCCTCAGATAAAATGTGAACTAAATATAAATATACGTCTTAATTGTAAAATAATTGCCCAAGTAAACTTGTAACAGCGTGTAGATATACAAGAAGAAATAAACTGTTTTTCTGTATCGGAAAATTTTATCAGTCATTATGATTTGAAGGCTGGATATAATGACGAGCATGACGAGGCCGATCAACACGTACTGATCCCGTGATATATATGGAACATTCACTTTCTTATAGCAGTCACTCGGGATCCTAAACTATGTCAATCGGGCTCAAGCTATTAGCATCCTTACATATAACTATTTAAGAGCTGCAATTCCGTGCTCCTCGATGGCCTACTATACGCCAACATGGACTCTGGCTACGCGCCAACCCTGAATAGAGGCCCTACTTAGCATGTTCCATCAAAATCTATACACATTCATTTACTTACATTCTGTGCTCACATTAAGCTAGAATAATGGACTCGATGAATAACGTTATTGTTATTTATTACAATACTCAGACAGATATTTTTTACAAACAACTCAACAATATGTAAAAAGTTGTCATGGTTATGTAAAAAACTTTATAAATCATAATTGAGTAACGAACAACATTTCCTTCCTCACAGGGAATATATAAAATTACTGTATTTTTATTGACAGCAAAATTTTTAAATTTAAATGCGATACTCTGCTTCATATCCCGTATTTGATTACAACGTCAATACATTAACATTTGATTGACGGGGATAGCATAAAAATTGAGTACTCCGGGATGAGGGAGCTGGTTTCTTTCCATCCATCACCGACATCCGGCGAGAGGTGAGGGAGGAGTAGGAAGAGGGGGGAGGGGGGGGGGAATTAGGGGGTGGTTATACCGGACACGATAAAAAGCAAATTTATCCGAATTCGAAGCTCGCTCTGACCTGCCCTTGATGCTAGCACCATTCAAAAATATTCGGGGCACTAAACAAACTTAATGTGTTCGTATAAACAGGAAAATGCGAATATCGATTTAAATAGAACGAACTGAAAAAAAAGAAACTAACGCCTGTACAGTTTTAACGATATATAATGAATTATTCAAGAGGATGTCTACAGTTGTATTTGTGTTTTTTATTCAATTCATGAAACGTTAATGGTCGGTCTCTGTACCTATTATAGCAGTGAGAATATTGTTTTATTTTAAATCTTACTTTCCTTTTTTTTATAATAGTATAAGAACTTAAGTCTTGAAGTATTGATAAAGATATAACCTATTTTCTAAAGTAAAGATAAGTTACACTCCAATGAAAATAAGCTAGTTGGGAAAGACCTGACATGATCTTCTGGCGAGGGTCCAGCGATGATGGATGAGAGGCGACTTCGCCGAGCTAATAGATTTGTATTAAAAACATGTCTAACGTTTTTAAAATTGCTTCAAGAATATTAAGATACTAATGTTTTTCTTATTCTTTGAGTATTAATGGTTTGTTATTAGTGATAAAATATATATTTAAATGGATACATTTTAAGTGTTACGAGACATAAAAAAGTTATTAAATCTATGTTAATTTTATTTTTAGATATAATAACACAGTACAGTATATTAAACGTTTTGCTATAGTTTATAGTGCGGCGAGAAGGCTGTGTCGTTGTTTAATATAAATAACACTCAATATTATTTGTACCTCAGACACTGTCCGTAATAAAAGACGAAGTATTCCAGGAAACAGCGTGATTTGTTCTACCGCAGTCGTTTTATTAAGATGGCCGCCGCTATATTGTAGGAATCTGTTGATATATGGCACATTTATATTAATGGAAACAGCGTATAATATTTATAATATGCTTTCACCTTTGCTACCTCTCATCTAAATACAACCGGCAGCGAATAAAACATTCATATTGAATGTGAAATGCTTATATTTCCTAATTATATTTACTATACAGGGGTAACATTCATACAATGAACATTTTGTATGAGCATTCATTTGCATTCATACAAACAGAAGGCAAATAAAAGTTGTTTAACCCTAATCAATATTGAAAGCAATCTAACCTAAACTAGATATTGTGCCTTTAGGAATTAAAAAAACCATCTGAAACTCAACCTTCATTGAAGTGGATGCAGAAATGGGGCAGAATAATGACTGTGAAATTGACCGAGAGTGTATCGAGGTAACGACAGCACTTACACGGCTCGTGGAACAGCGCGTTCAAGATAATGTCCCAACACTAGCAGTTTGTTAACTCAATATAAATATATGTATGTATGTATGTATGTATGTATGTATGTATGTATGTATGTATGTATGTATGTATGTATGTATGTGTATGTATGTATGTATGAATGTATGTATGTATGTATGTATGTTGTTGTTGTTGAAAGCAACACAATATCTTACTTTATATCCTAGAAGCGTATTTCTGTTTAAACTGTGAACGAAGAAGCTGACATTAAATGTCTTAAGTGTTTTTTTTCTTTTCGCTCGACTGTTCCTCGCTCATTTCTTATTGACGTTAGTTGAATGACTTAGATATTAAAAACTGCTTAAAGATTCAGCTGTGTTAGAGGAGACACGATTTTTCTGTAGTTCTATTTCAATGGAAATATATCTTCAAAGAATTCCATCCTTAATGCATTTTCACAGATTGAAACCAGGTCTTTGGAAAACGCTATATCAGTTTAAGTGTTGCATATTGTTTTATAAAATATTTATTTCTAACATCCCAGTAAAAGGCAGGTGCATTTAACGAGGGGGTAGGTTCTCTAGCGGACTACACCGTAATAAACCGTAGAGTGCCTTCATTAAACACTCGCCACCGTGTATTTGATTACTTGGAGTGTTCTGAAGTATTTATGCTTTGCATTTTCATGAGCAAGCAATAACTCTACGATAATGGAGCTGCGCTAATGAATTGTGCTCGGTTCGAGTGCGCCTCTTACCAGTTCCTCGTCAATCTTTGATTCGATGTTTTAGATTTTCTTTCTTAAGGAGAAATCACAGCCTATTGAACGTTTTAATTTAATTTGTGATAAAAATTTGACGTTTCGGGATTTATAGATTATATGTGTATATGATTAAAAAACAAATAAAGCATTTCAGACTTAGAAAAATACCTTTAAGTCAAAAATTAGTTAGCAGACTAAAGAACTTTCTGTTTTAAAAATTATTACTAAATATTAACTAATGATTGTTGAACTATTGTTGAGATTTATGAAATCTTATGCATTTCTATGAAACTAATATTTTTCGGATATACTACGCGACTTTGTTTTGATAAACAACTAAATACTCTCCACGTTTCGACTACTTTTCAGCAACCATGATCACAGTCAGTCATGCAAGGTTTTATCAATCTGAAAAATATTAGTTTCATTTAAATGAAAAACTAATCTTTAAATAATCTTCTACAAATGAACTATCATATAATCTGAGTGTGAGACTGACGCTAAATTAGTTTATGATCATTAATAATATATTCGCATGTACCGTACATGTGTTCCACGATCTAACTCGACGCGGACGGCTGTATTATCTGCTCGTAATTAATCACTCGCGAAACGACTGATCACAGATTTATCTCGACGAGTATTGTTACAGAATATCATACAACTATTGCACTTTCATTTATAATAACTTTTGACTAATCATATTAAAAACATAGCTCTGTTAATTTTAAATTTCAAATATTGTCTTATGCAATGTTTGCTATCTCCATAGATTTACGTCTGTTTATTGACTGAGGAAATGTGGTCACAATTTATACTACATTCCTATTAAATCTTATTATTATATTCTAAATCAATCAAATACTTGACATTTAACCATCGTATATATAAGACCGATGTCACAAAACAGTTTCGTCCCACGATTCGTTTCCACACTAACCCGTTATTACAATGGTAAAGTTCAAAGCGAATAAAACGGATTTGCTTGGACCATAAATTGTCGAGAGTATCGCGTTGTGTTTCCCGTGGCTCACAGCTGCGCAATATTACTAATATTTGCTTGAATGCACTTCAGCCTCTTCCCTTATTTATGAGAACAAATGACATGCTTATGTATAAAAACAGTTTCATTCTGAAACATTATTATAATATTTAAACATTAAATAAATAAATAAAACCACATAATGTTTATTAATATTTAAGATACAATGTAATTTCTTGCAAAAAATTTCACAATTAACATAAAGTTTATAAGTCGTAATTTGATTGAATAGTTATTGATTTGTAATTATAAAAACATTTATAACATCTATATCTGTTTACTTCTACGTAATCTATATATTGATTTTATAATAATATTAACAAAAAGCGATGTAATAAATAAAGTTTCAGTTTGAGTCGTTTATTCAGTGTGTAATTAAGTCTTTCTAAATTAAGGAACAATAAAAGTCTGGTATGTTATTTAATTAGCGAGGCCCGTCTAACTGAGTTTACTTGTTTGATATAAAAGCTAACAATAAAGAAAAAGGAAAATCGTACGTTTATCAAACACAACCCTTCAACGAGCCTCCACCGACCCCGGGTCCAGACGGAGCAAACATATGAGAGAAACGAGGAGTGGACGACACTCAATTATAATGAGATTCTATTGGAATGATCTAAATAAAACAAAAGACGGTGTACGTGGAATAAATACACATACACACACACACACACACACACACACACACACACAGATACACACATACACACACACACACACACACACATGTATAAAAATAGAATTATATTGTACAAATAAAAATACGTAAATTATAAACACAAAATTTTTAAAGTTAAATTTTAGTTTAAGTATTTTCCATTATAAAACTTATCATAAATAGTCAATTAAAAGTTAATTAAAATCACAGTACACATAAAATAAATTATAATTATTAATTTTATAATAACATATTATTGGATTTTCTATAAATATCTTGGATACATTACATACTCCACGGATCGAAAGAACAAGCTACTTCAAAGGAAATTAAGAATATTGTTTGAAGCGATTATTAAATATATAACATAATAAGGCCGCTTCTTAAACAATGATAACGATAAAGCCTTGTCGAAGAAAGAAAGTTACATCGAGAAAGGATTTTATAATCATGTTGTAAAAGCGACGGCACTTCTTGAAGATGTTAAAGTGATTTGGATAGATGAAAATCAATCAGTACGAGGTTTCTTACGATATGGCTTGTTAAAAACAATTCCAACAACGAAATAGAAAATATATATGGTTCTATAGTCTTTAAAAAAAGAAAGAATTAAGCATAAATAAATAAAAATATTTGATATTTTTATTAATATTTCCAACCGAGTGACTTCGATAAAGAGATTCAGTTGTTGAGTTACTTCGACCAAATAAAATAGATGAATTTCTGTTTCAATTGAAATCGTGTTCATTAAGAGACTGTTCTGAAACAATTTGGAAGTGATCTCGATCCGTAGCACGTAGCCTCGTAGCATCGTAGCTCGTAGCGTCGTAGCAGATCTAGTAGCGCCCGTATGTGATCGGAGCGCAATAGCAATTTGATATTTATACAGCATAATACATAGATATAATATTGTTATAATTTTTTCTCTTCTCAAAAAAATATTATTCTTCAAAAGAATTGTATCAGAAAGAAATATAATATACGAGTATGCTTCAAACAATTGTATAAGTAAAAATTTATTACATGACGTATGTATACATACATAATGCTATAATTGAAATACACTACTGTATAATATACAAGGAACCAAAACAAATTCTTTTATTCAAACAATTGTGTACGAAAATACAATAAAAATTTGTCACGAGGTGTCAGGACAGACGTAAGCCGGGATTACGTGCGTCTTATATTAGGGTGTTAGTACGGCCGGCGTGGTGTGCGACTGTCGTGCGACTGTCGCAGGATTATCACTCGAGAGTGACGTCACTAATGGACCTGTCACTGAGAGCAATAACAACCACTAACCCACTGTC